TGCCTCAGTGTGCCATGTGCCTCACCTGGGTCCATGAAGAATGTGTCAGACTGACGCCTGAGGATGAAGATGTGTTTGTTTGTCCCAAATGTGCACCCTGAATGGATGGGCTTTATTATCAGTTGAGCATGAAATAAATAAGGCCCATTAACGAGTTTTTTAAAAACCTAAGAATTTTTCTTTTTGTTTATTTCGCGCTCGCGCACTTCGTAACTTTTCTACGCATTTGTCGTGAGCATATATCGTTGAAATTTTTTAATATATTCAAAACTAACATTCAAAATTATTTTTATACAGCACAATATTAAACTGAGGTTGTTTTAAATCTCTAATCATCATGTAATCTTTCGTAAATTTCTTCATGAACTGTTGGTGAATTAATATTAATATTAATTTTATTATGATGGTCAAATAAAGCTGTGTGACGTGTTGTTTTGCATTTTTAGCTTTTAAGACTTTTTCTTTTTTAAATCAAATAAAGGATACAGCAGTTGATCTTGGATTTGTTGAGACGGTGGTTATGGTTGGTAAATCAATTTTAGTCAGATGTTTCGAGTGCTTATTCGAACTAAGGGGGTATTTTTAAGCTTTGTGGTTGTTAGTCAGCCTGAAATGAACTTAATATTATTAGTGTATAATGGGCTTATTTGGTATAACTTAGTCTGTCGCGTTGAAAGGTTTATTTAATTAATTTCCTGTTTATTTGAATAATTTCTTGTTTGTATTCTGTCAAAACATTTACAAGACGTCATTATTATCGGCAACTCGCCATCTTGCCCGAAGCCATCTAGTGGTCGGTAGTTTAAGTTTTGAGAAATACGAATGGAGGAATTATTGTAAATTATTTACGTTTATTTTGGTTTTTAGTTTATAAAGTGGGTAAAGTAAGTTTGTCTAAGACCTATGGTTGTTTGTGTGATTATTAGAATTAGGTTTCGAAGCATTTGACTGGGTTTGTTTTGAGAGCGCCATCTAGGAGCAAAAAGTAGGAGATTAAGTCTGACTTGCGCGGTTGTATGCAAATTGCCCGGTAAAAGAGCTGGTAAATTGATGGGTGCTGGTCGTGTTATAGCTGGCATTGAATTTTTCTAATAAGGCTGTGTAATTGCCTTTCAAGTGTGTTTGGGATTCAAATTCATGTGCAGCAAGGGAGTGCGTAAGGAAATGGAATAGTATTCTTGTGTTGAAATCCTTGTATTCACGGATGATTCCGGATTATTGTACCACGACCAGGGTAAGCCATCTTGACACCCCTTGCTCTTTTGTGTCTGATCGCAATTAATTTTAGTTTCCATCCATTCGCATACAACGACCGCACCCAACAACGAGTTTGGTTTCAATTGGTCAAAGCGGAGTCAAAATCCAGCGTAAGTTATTGACTTTGGAAATTCGCAGTGCTTACCGCACGTGGTCTTGTAGGGTTGTTTAATTAAAAATTAAACAGAAAAAATTATTAATAGAATTTGAGTTTAAAAAAGGTTACTACCAAAAATGCAGGAATGTGCAAAGTTGCGTATAGCAGCAGGTGATTAAACGAGAGCACCTTACGCAGCAGTGCACCAATTGCGGCAACCAGCAGTTCAACAACAAAGATGCATATGTTTTTTGTTATTGTTGTTTAATTTTATATATTGTTTTATGTTAAATGTTTAGAACTACTGTTTTGCTTATATTGTAAATTTGTATATAACCCAATAAGTTTTTAATAAAAATGAGTTCCAAAACGAATTCCATTTGGTTTATTTTGGTATCTCATCATTGTTCATTAAGAACTGGGAAGTGAGCAAGATCAAGGATCATCCTTGTACTCGCCCAGTGATTGGTGAACAAACATTGGTCCTTCGAACAACCAGCCCCAGTCCAGGAATTATCAAACAAGTGACCTACGCCCAAACAAGCGACGTAGGGATTTACAGGCACCCAGCCATCAACACAACAGGGATTTACGACCCCTTCGAACCACCAGCCCCTTGGTAGCACAGTCCAGGAAGCGGCAACAAACATTGAACCACCAGCCCCCTTGGTAGCACAGTCCAGGAAGCGGCAAAGACAGAGTACAACCAGGTACTTATGGCAATGGCTCAACGAATCCCAACAACCCGGAGCACCCCCGATGGTCAAACTCCGGGACAACCGGGATTTACGACCCCGAAAAGCTGGTGAAATTTCCGGGATCGCATCCAAATGAAGAAGAAGAATGGCAGCTGCAAGACGGCAGTGATTTAGACCAGCTCCCACAGATGCAACCTAGACAACCAAGGCACCAGCTGGAAACAACCGGGATTTACGACCCCGAAAAGCTGGTTAGCTGTCCATACGACAGCAACCACAGAGTCCTACCATAAGATAAGGTGCCTCAAAAACAACCCCATGGCCAGGACCACGGAACCAGCGACACCTCCCACTGAAGGAGAACGCACAAAAGAAAAACAACGAAGAAATCAACCAACCACACACGACGTATCCCCATGGGCAAATGAAGAGGAAGAAGAGTGGCAGCTGCAAGACGGCAGCTATTTAGACCATCTCCCACCGATGCGGCAGATACAACCAAGACGCCGGAAGAACAACAAGAGAGCTACCACTGCATTTCAATGACACTCTGCTGCTGGTCGCCAATATGTTTAATCACAAGATTAAACAGAGACCATCAACTCCCAATCTTTTGTGGAGTCGCCAATATGTTTAATTAAAAAGGTGATTAAACGAGAGAATAAACTACTATGTGATTTTAAAAGCAAAAATTTTAAAAATTTTAAAATAATATATTTGTGGAAAATGTGATATATAGTGCCAAAGAGTTTTTAGATTTGTCCTTTTAGTAGTGTATTAGATAATAGTTTTGTATTTATATTTTTTAAATGTTTTGTATCTAGATTTGTTGAAATGTTTTATACTAATATGTATTACTTAAACTTTTGTATCATTCTTTAAATTGTGTTTTATGACGTGCCTTGTAAACTTTGAAGGTAAATAAACTTATTCTTCTTCTTATTCTTACGCAGCAGTGCGTGTGTTTTATGTTAAATGTTTAGAACTACTGTTTTGCTTATATTGTAAATTTGTATATAATCCAATAAGTTTTTAATAAAAATCAGTTCCAAAACGAATTCCAATTTGGTTTTATTTTGGTATCTCAACATTGTTTATTAAGAACTGGGAAGTGAGCAAGATCAAGGATCATCCTTGTACTCGCCCAGTGATTGGTGGACAAACATTGGTCCTTCGAGCCGGATGGTCCCAACAAGGGTCCTTTTCCAAGGGTTCCTTTTCCAGAGGTCCTTTGCAAAGGTGTCTTCGCTAAGGAGTTTTCTTCTGAGAAGTTATTTAGAGTATCCAGTACTGCCTACATTATCCTATCGGTGAGAAAGTATCCTGTACTGCCTACATTATTCTATTCTATTTTAGTTTTATATTTTATATCGGTTGATTTTGTAAACACCTACACTTGGTTCCTTGAACCAAATGCCCCTCAGGCATTAAATCTTTTTAACGTAAAACATTGTAACGTTGTTCTACTCCTTTTGGAGAGGGGTCCATTAGGCCCTGTACCATTTTACTTGATCTAAGGATATTTGTTTTGTAAGCCCTACGTGATCACAAACGGGTAGGTTAGTTGTATCGTGACCTCTGCGAGGAATCATTGCGGATTTAATAAACCAAATTAACTGTTTTTCGTGATTTTTATTAAAGCTTAAACAGTTAATAAGGCAGAACGTATTCTGGGAGTAAAATCACGTGGCGTCCAGGTATTTGAAAGTAAAACTCACCCCAGCTCACCGCTGAGTAGGGCATACTTCCCGGATACCTTTAGGTTTATTAAAAAGCTACCTGGCACAGGGTAAACCTGTCACAGCTATACAATAGTAATCCTTACTATGATCAAGATGAAAAGTATAAGGGTTTCTTCTCCGCAACCTATTTTGTCCTCGGTTTTTTAAATCATTCAGAACAAAGTTTACACCACTTAAAAAAAACGTTCAGCCTCTATTTCAAATTCGCGGTTAATATTTAAATCACAATAAATAGTCTTATTAATTTTTTTTTTTAATAATAGTCTTACAATTTTCAGACATTTTAAACTTTATTTTTTTTACTAATTACATGATTATATTATATAAACAGAAAAATGTTTGCAGTACTCTTACACAAATGCTGATGGTGCAGTACGTGCTGAAATCTGTTACTGTTACTTTCCCACCCACACAAATACTGAGTAAGAACGAGCAGAAAGTGAGAAAAGTGTTAAGCCCAATTCACAAATATCGCAGTGCCTGCATATAAGTAACTAATCCTCATGCCTTATGTCAATCATAGTATTCGATTAATATGCATGCAAGCACTGTGATAGAATGAGATGAGGCATGTATGTTTATAAACAGATTCCTGCAAACAAGTGTAATGAAGCTTAAAATATATATTGGAGGTACTTGATTTAAGTAACAAAAATTTTTTTGTGAAAAATAAACAGAACAATGAAAAAAAGTATTTCTTATGAAACTTTTCTTTGGGGCTGATTAATATTTTGAGTAGAGTAGCAAAGCCGTTTCTAGGCCACCATTTCCAAAAGTGGCCGCATGGTGGCGCCACTTGCCAGGTTGATCCTTAAGCCTAGATATTGCACAATATTTCAAAATTTAAATTTATTTTGACGCCACACTGGCGGCACGTATTTTTATTATTTGCATATTTAATTAGGTAAATAAGTTTGCAAGCCCCACACTGGCGGCACGTATTTTTATTATTTGCATATTCAATTGCATCTACTTATTCAAACGTAATTCTCGGAATTTTCCAGCTCAAGTTTGTTTTTTTATTAATTTATAACTAGTGGAAGGAAGTTTGTTATTTAAAGAGAGCAAAGCGATTATTTTTTATTCTTTTAGTTAACTTTCCATCGACTACTACTGTTGCAAAATAAAATTTTTTAAATAATTTTATAATTTATTAAATAAAATTTAAGTAAATCATTCAAAATATTTTTATTAATTTTTTTTTAGGATGGATTTTAAAGCATCTCAAGTCAAAGTGAGCACCCAAATTGTGAAAACATTAAGAGCTGCTTGCAAAATTTTGGAATCAAAGTGCAGCGCAGATGAGGAGGCCATTTGGCTGGGATATTTAAAGAAAAATATTAAATGCTTCACCAAACTTATAAAAAGGCATATGAATTCTACAGGTATGCAACGTAACCTTATTACTAATTTAGGCCAGCTCAAACATCTAAGAACTATACTTAAAGCGAAAAATGTTGTGGGGGCGTGGTTAAAAAGCACTAATAAAAGGAGTTGCCGTATAAAGTGGGAAGATTTAGATAGTGCCTTAAACTCTGGCTTACGCACAGGAATTATAATAAATTTAAAACACATTGATATAATGACGCATGTTTTCTTTTCAAATCAAGGGTGTGCAACGTTTTAAAAAAATTCCTCTGATAAAAGGTAACGTCTGCTTTGGGGGAGAATTTATTAAAAGGAGCGAAGACCAAATAATTAACGAAATTAAATATTTTAATACTAAAAATAAGGTAAAAGATGGCGGGGTTGATTTAAAAATTGGTTTTACGAAAATGTTGATAAAATTTTATATAAATTAAGCAAATTTGCTGAGAAAGATTTAGAGTGGGCTTTACATAAAATTTTAAATTTGGAAAACAACATTAATAAATACGAGGTGGGCAACGGTTCGTCTTATATTAAACTGCCTGAACTGATCGCGAGAAAGCAGGCTTTTGTTAACGTCAAAAATTTAGATAGCGACTGTTTTGTATGGTCGATAGTATCGGCTCTATATCCTGCGAATACCCATGTATATATCCTAATTACAGGGGTATTTTAAAGTTTAAGAATATCGAGCTTCTCATAAAATTGAAAGATATTTTAAAATTCGAGTCAAAAGTCAAAATGCTGTACCATAAATGTTTACGGGCTGGAGCTAATTGATTCGGAGAAAGGCTCCAAGTATAATACTTTACCTGGGTGGCTTACTTAAAATAAATTAGCCCGGCAAGTAAATTTACTTTTAATTCAAATATTTACTTCTCCAAACAGTTCGATTGCGAACCATTTTCGGACGTAGCCAACTACAATGAAATAAAGTATCATTAAACATTTATCCAGACTGGTAAAAAGTCAGCAAACAAAACACGAACATAAAATTTTTATTTGGGTTCGGTGCCTAAATTATTTTTCGACTCAAATAATTAAACTGAGCATGAAGAATATCAAAACTTAAAACAAAAATTAAACAAATGTGAAATTTCGTTTCCGAAAGAAGATTTAGTAGAGTTTTTTAATACAAAATTTCAGGAAAAAGTACCATTTGTTATGTATGCTGACTTTGAAGCCATTCTTTTACCTATTAATAAAGCATTTAGCGCCGCATATTATTTTAAATGTGACAATGATGATACTCTATAATTTTACAAAAGCTATCGCGGTTTGGATTGCATGGAGTGGTTCGCAAAGGAGTTGTCCTAAGTTTCAAAATTTGTTAAAATAAAATTAAAAGGTAACATATCAATGGATAATAGTGTTGATTTAAAGGATGCTACTCCTCCGTGTCACATTTGCAATAAAGATTTTATACATGGAGATTATAATCATCTAAATGGATTTTTTCGCGGGTTTGCTCATCTGGTTTGCAACCTAAATTACAAAAATACATTTACTGTGCCGGTTGTTTTTCATAATTTAACGGGCTATGTTTAATCTTTGATTAAACAAGAAAATAATTTCATACAATTTTGTGTAAAGTTTATCGAATTAAATTGACGAACTGCAGGAATGTGCAAGGTATGTATCTGGCAGCGAGTTAATAAACGAAAAACCCTTACGCTGCATTTGCACTACCTGAGGCAACCAGCAGTTCTCAAACAAAATCATTATGCTGTTTACAAATTACTAGCCATTATTACATGTTAATGTTTAAACTCTTTAGAACCACTGTTTTTATTTGTAAATATTTCTCATTGTAAAATTATATATAAATCGATAATTAGTTATAATAAATCAGTCAGAAAATTACTCACAACAAGACTTGGATTACAACTGGGAAGTAAGCAAGATCTTTGTATTCGCCCAGTGGTTGGTAAAATTCACCCTAACAGCCCTGCTATTATAGAGGCTGCGACTCCCATTTCCTAATTAAAGATTTAAATAATTTTAGTAGAATATCGCTGTTGTCCATAAATAATATATAATATATATATATATATATATATATATATATATATATATATATATATATTGTAACGGGTAACTTGGGACAGTACGGAAGTAAGGCGACAATTGTTCAGAACATTTATTTATTTTAATTTTAATAGTTAAATGTAGGCAACCCAGTTATCATGGTATGGAAAATGACGTAGCACGGCGCATGGTATTTGTTTTGAATAATTGTTTACTTTCTTATCATTTGTTTTCAGTTAATTATTAAATCTCACTTATCAATTTTAAATTTTTTATAAACATCACTTGGCCAATAACACTTGATTATGGGTAATTTTGACACCTTCCGGTATAGGAGGCCATTGTGATTTTTTGGATCGAAGCTTCTGGAAGCGTTGAAAGGGAGAACCAAATAATACGCTTTAGTTTTGATCATCGTTAAATAAAATTAACTGAATAAATCAGCAATAATACTTTAAGGCCACCTGACATCCAAGGTAAATAATATTTTTATTATTATGACTGAATTTCCTGTGTTTTCGAAAACATGCTAAGTGATGTTTCTCTTTTAGGCCTTCTTTATTTTTTTATTTGTTATTCCTCGTTCGGCCAGTTTGGCTGGTCCTACATTACAATTATCGTCCTAGAACGATAGTGCTAAAACAGAAATATTCAATATTATTGGAGACCAAATTTGAGGTTATAATCCCCTAGAGGAGGGTTATTTTGGAGAAATACTTACCATGCCGTCCTGCTGCGTTATGTCCTGCTAAGATGTGTATTGCTACACTGTCTCCTGCTTTACTGTGCCCTTATTGTGTGACTGGAATCAACACTTTAATCTTCGTTGTGTGGAGGAAGCCCACCTAAGGCATTTGACCATCGTCCATTTCTGTTTGGCTGAAACAAGAACCTAACAAGGAAGAAAGCAAGTTAACCAACACCAGGTTTTATAAATCATAATATTTTACTTACTGTAAACCACTCACGTGAAAGGTATTTATTTTAATTTTTTTACATAATTCATTTTTTTGGTGTTGATAACACTTGTTTATAAGAGAGGTGTTCAAGTAATCTTGCCTACAGGTTTAAATAACTAATTCTATTGTTTCATTTTTAAAAATACAGAAATATATATATGTTTTAATAATTAATTTAATCATAACAGTGTGTTTATTTGTTACAAGAAACCTCCTGTTTTTCCTCATCCCTTCCTTGTAAAAAATTCCAAATTTGACTGGCGCCCATTTAGACTCTAACCATCTGACCCACACCCGCCCCGATAAAAGAGCAGTCGTGTATGTGGTAAGCAATAAATTTAATTTAATTTTTTTAAGTACGCCACAATATATATATATATATATGAGGCATTCCATGTCAACTCAGCCACCCCCTCCTGTGCAAAATTGACTAAAGTTTTTCCAAACGTGCAACTGATAAATGTTTAGCTTATCGTCTTAACTTTCAAATGTCGAGTGGTATTTTGTAAAATTTCAAAATGGCGGTGTCAATATAGTGACTTCAAGCAATATACATCACTTTAAAAAAACCGTATTAGGTAGTTTACATTAACTAACAGCGTTATAAAATTAAAAATTGAATTTGATTATATGCACTAATCTATTATCAGTGATTCTATGATTTTTTACCGCTGATTACACAATGGTTCGCCCCTAACCCCAAAAAATAACTTAAAAAGCAGTTTTGTGAAATTTACAGCCCCTAAATGCATTTTTGATACATATTTTTGCATTTGTTTTTTGTATTTCTCATTGCCTAATATAAATATGGCCTTACCTCAGAGTCGACATAAAACTGTATGTTCCTAACCTAAAATAACTCTCAAAAAATGTATTTTTACCTTCTTTATAGCTGTTTAAAGCATTTTAAAGATTGGCATGAGGTTAAATTTTTATACTTTTTATCGCCAAGTACGTAAATAATCCAACTATAAATTGCAGACTAAGCAGTTTACCCCTAACCTTAAAAATATTTTCTAAAAATTAATTTTCTGCGGATACACATGCTGAAGAAAATTGAAATATGGGATGTATAGATTTATTTCCACACTTTTTATCGCTAAATACGATTATAATCTTTCTTTGACGGCAATTCTTCGTTAACCTATAAAACTTTGCATAAATCGCATACGCGTATGTTAAAAATATTTTTTAGTATAGTAGTTATTACATAAGAATATGCTAAAATTGTAATAATCTACATCTACCGATAATTAAATTCGTACCAAAAATAATATTCTTTTGTGGTATTACCAAATAAAAATGTACTCTTAAAAAAGTATTCGAATGCTCCAGCTCCGAATTTAATTATCGTTAGAATCTTATATAGATAATTACAAATTCAGCATATTGTTATATAATAACTACTATATAGTAAATATTTTTAACATATCATTTAAACCTCATTTTTATTGCATAGGTAGGATGCAAAGTTTTTTTAGGTTAACAAAGAACTGCCATCAAACATAAACATTTTTAGCGATAAAAGTGTAGAAATAAATCTATAAATCCCATATTTCAATTTTCTTTAGCGTCTGTATACTGCAGAAAACTAATTTGTAGAGAATATTTTTAAGGTTAGGGGTAAACTGCTTTGTGTGCAGTAAATAGTTGGATTATTTACGTACTTGGCGATGAAAAGTATAAAAATGTAACCTTATGCCAATCTTTAAAATGCTTTAAACAGGTAAAAATACATTTTTTGAGAGTTCTTTTAGGTTAGAAACGTACAGTTTTATGTCGACCCATATTTATATTAGGCAATGAGAAATACAAAAAACAAATGCTAAACCATCTATCAAAAATGCATTAAGCGGGAGTAAATTACGAGAAACTGTTTTTTAAGTTTTTTTTGAGGTTAGGGGCGAACCATTGTGTAATCAGCGGTAAAAAATACATAGAATTACTGATAATAGATCAGTGCATTAAATAAATTTCAATTTTTAATTTTATAAAGTTGTTAGTTAATATAAACTACGTATTACGGATTTTTTAAAGTGATGTCTATTGCTTGCAGTCGCTATATTGACACCGCCATTTTGAAATTTTACAAAATACCACTCGGCATTTAAAAGTTAAGACGATAAGCTAAAAATTCATCACTTGCACGTTTCGAAAAACTTTAGTCAATTTTGCACAGGAGGGGGTGGCCGAGTTGACATGGAATGCCTCATATATATGCACAGAAAAAAAGGAATGGTTAATTTAACTATATTAATTTAGTTGACCCATATTTATTTAAATCAACTGTGGGTAGGTTAATGTAAACAAAGATTAGTTTGACGGTACTAAACCAGATAGTTATTTTATTTTTTTAAATTGGTTAAGTTAACCCAGAAAACTTTAGTGAAACCAACCCGCTGTATGGTTCAGTTTACTAAATATGTTTTTTGTAAATTAAGAGTTACTTCAACCTTAAGCACTCTGTTAAAACGATTAAAACGTTTGCCATGTATTAGTATATTTATTATAAATTCACTTGTTAATTATTAATCAGATGACTTTAAAGAAAATCAGGTTATATTTATTATTAACAAATTTTTTCAAACAATGGAGTGGATTCTTTTAAAGTATTAGCAGATATCGCCTTTGACAATGCTATGAATATAGTTTTAAAGATTATATTATTATTATACTATAGATATATATATATATATATCTTTATTTTTTTTAAGTTTATTTATGTTTTTTAAATAATAGGTCTATGAATATAATTTAAAAGTTTTAAAATATTGGATTTTATAAAATATATAAATATATATACTTCGCTTTCTTAATAAAATCATCTTAAAAAAACAAATATTTTATTTTAAAAATCACCCAAATTGAAATTACTGCAATATTCGGTTTTACAAAATACTTCGATTAACATATAAAACTACAGATATAAACCATAATAATTTTATAAGTATATTTTTATACATATGTATAATATACATTGTATATGCTCTCTTGTAAAATTATAAAGAAAATACGTCCCTTTGTGAGATTGACAAGGATATGCCATATTTATTGCAAATATAAACATATTTTTTTTAAATAAAGTTATATGCTAATTATTAATTATTAATAATGAAATTTGTTAATTATAAATAAACTAATTTATAAAAAATAACTCAAAATTAAAATTAAATTTATTAATGTTAATAATTACTTCCCGGGTTATTTATATATAATTGATTATAATCAATTTAGTTTATTTATAATAAATAAGATGTTTGTCACTTTATATAACAATTTGTTTTTTAAAAATATCTGTTAATTTTTAATAAATAATTTAACTAATTGCATATTTATAATAAATAAGGGTTTGGTTGTTTTTAATGCAATTTTATTTCTCACAGATAAAGTATTTGTTTATAATAAATAAATATTTATTTACCACAAAAAAGTATATTAAAGTAATACTAATAAATTATTTGTATTTAAAAAATAAATATTTATTCCGACATTATCGAATAAATCATTTATTTATTGTTAAACAATATCATTAATTGTAAATAAACTGTTTGTTAGTGAATTATTATAAAAAAGTATACTTTTTTATCATATTTTCCTGCAGGATGTAATATCACGTTTTATATGAGCACTCTAAGGTTAAAATCAATATTTCATCTCTTTGATTTTTTTATAGAGATATAGAAATGGTGAATTATGTTACCTAGATATGGATGACACTGATGAGGAATTATTGGACATAAATGAAACAAAGGAAATAGTATGTACCGATCGCGGCAAAGGCGGTGTGGATCACGTGATGTTCTTAAATCTCGCCTCTGTTGACTTACATTAAGAGTATATAAGGTAGTCCTTTGCTTTGGTGTGACACTACAAATTGTACGATACTAAAGATACCTAAAATAGGTGGAAACAGATGTCAATACTTGGAGTATTTTAGTTGGTGGAACGCATCTCTAGCGAGTGAAGGTTCAATTTTCTGGAATAATACCACTGGTGTTATACTAATAATGCGTCAAGGAATTTCCTGTTTCTTGAAAAATATTTAAAAAAAATGGCTTAAAAAATGTTTCTACTCCAAATATTTCAAGATCTTATATTTTTATTGTTAGGTACTATGGCCAAGTTGTACCAAGGCGTTAACCTAGTTAGGTAAACAAATTATATTGAGTCAATTCAACCAAATGTATTTAGTACATGGGACTGGTAGGTAAATGTTACTTTAACTATATAAATGTTTGTTTTAACCAAATATATAGTTGTAGAATATAACTAAATGCGGTGGTTAAAATAACTAAATGTTTGGTTGGCTCTATTGAAACAACAGATTTAGTTAAATCAAACAAATAATAGTTGGGCTAACCAAACCTTTTTTTCTGTATATATATATATATATATATATATATATATATATATATATATATATACGATTTATCGATTCATTTCGTTTTATGGCCTCTAGGTTCCTATTTAACTGAATATCAAAATTTAGAACATGAATTTTTAAATTAAGATAAATATTTTACACCGTAAAGGCCTTTTTCTGTGCGATTTTGTAGATTCCTTTGAAAAATTAGATTTTTCTTGTTTGCCCGAAAAATCGGCCTTTTACAACAAACTGAATGATTGCGATATTTCGGAAAATGATTATGCGCATGCTCAGCCCGTTTGGCGTGAATTCGGTTGTCAAAATTTGGGCCAATATTCAGATTAGTGCACTAAAACATGTTTTTCAAAAACCGGTTGAAACCGTTTTTTTTTTAAATCGGTTGTATCCGGTTTTTTTTTAAATACCTAAATACCGGTTTTTTGTAAATTTGTGACATTCGCTTAATAACGATTGTAGCTCTAGTTTAAATAGTGAAATATTATATTTCACTATTTCAAATATACCTATTCAAAAAGTAACGAACTTTACAAAATGAAATAATTGACAGAAAGTTATATTTTATTTTTCTGTTAGTAGCCCTGCTTTTGCGCAGCATTGCAGGCTTGTGTAGATTTGTAGGTAACTACAAGTTTTAAATATAAAACTATACACATTGGATTGTGAAGAAGACTATAAGCTTGTTGAAAAGTTATATTCAAAAATTATAGTTACATTCTGCTATCGAAAGACTTTAAGCTCGTTCAAAAATTATAACTAAAAATTGTAGTCACAAGCTGGCAACGCCGCGGCAGAAAGCACTTCGCTGCAGAGCTACCAAGTTGGTAGTACCAACAGAAGAATAAAATAAAAAAAATTGGTTAAAAACATAGAAAAATAATAAAAAAACAGCTATTTCTAGTACTCGAGAGTCAATTGAAGGTAAGAAAGAAAACTTTTCGTAAATTTCTATGATAATGACTGTTCAATTTGAACAGTTCAAACCTAATGTTTATTACATTTTAGAGAATGCCTAAGGTAAAGGACAAATTATCTATCACCAAGAACCATTTCAGGATGCCCCCTCTGTTGAATGTAAGCACTGTAAAAAGGAGTTAAAATCGGGTGGTGGAACCTCTAATATGCTGGCCCATTTGCGTCGCACCCACCCATGGGCTTTAACAGAGGAATTAAATAACAACGATGAGTCTACACTTGTTTCGAATGTGAATGTGAACAACGGTAACATGTTTCCATCTACATCTTTGAGAAATTCTAAATTAAACCGCCTGCAAACAAAGCTGGCTGGCTCAATCAAAGGATTTTCCAAATGATTCCCAGAAACTCAAGATTGATGAACAGTTAACCCTGTTAATAGCAACAGATTTCCAGCCATTTAATATTGTTAACGATTCCGGATTTAAAAAATTTACTCATGCATTTAACCCGCAGTATACTTTGCCTTCAAATAAGAAAATTAGATATAAGATAATGCCAGATATGTATGCGAAATTTAAGGATAAGCTGCGGATAATGTTATCAAATACTGAATTTGTTAGCATTACGACGGATGTGTGGAAAAATGCATCAATGACATGCATTTATGACAGTCACTTTTCACTTTATTTATGACGGAGAATTTAAATCTTGTGTCCTAAACACTAGGTCTTTAGCGGAATCGCACACTGCCGAAAATCTAGCAATTCACCTTCAAAAATTCTACAAGAATGGCAAATCAAAAATGAACAGATTGCAGCCGTAGTAACTGATAATGCAGCTACTATGTTAAAAATGTGTTATGATATGCAACTTTGAAACATACCCTGCTTTGCACATACACTGAATCTGTTAGTACAAGACTGCTTTGAATCAAAAAAGGAAGCTGGTTTAAAAGATATTACAGATAAATGCAAAAGTATTGTAACATATTTCCGTAGATCAGCAAAGGGAACTGCTGCTCTGCTAAACCAACAATTACAAGCTAATCCCAACAAAACTCCTCTACGTCTGAAACAACCCGTTGGAATAGCACATATTATATGCTCCAACGTATTCTTGAATTAGGTGATTGTTAAAGAAGTTATGAAAGACATAATAAGCATATTACCTATTTTTGAAGAAGCAACAAAAATGGTTAGTGGAGAAAAATACTCAACTTGTTCACTCATAATTCCCATAATATGTGGTATATTCGAGAAATTAGGTAAAATTAAAATAGACTTAAATACTGATATAGGAAAAACTTCCACCAGGAAGCACATAAAGCCGTAGTTAGCCGTTTGATACCATATAAAGCAAGAACTGTGCCAAAGCTGGCTACCATGCTGGATCCACGATTTAAAAAATCAGGGTTCCGTTTAGAAACAAATGCTGAGTCTGCAAAACAGCTGTTACAAAATGAAATAAGATATTTAATTGCTTCAGGTTCGAATACTATGTCTTTGCATCAACCTAGTGCATCAACATCATCCAGATTTAGTAATAATAGATGACAAGGATAGACAAAATCAAGCTTTGGAAAAAGAAGCATCAGTTCAATCTAATAAAACGCAAATTCCACTATTAGATTTCTTACAACGGCGAAAAGATGCCCAAATTTCTAATCCCACAGCTGAATCTATTATATTATTACGACACTACAACGAGACCTCCACAGTAGATATTGAAACAAATATATTTCAATTTTGGAAGGAACATACTGAGTTACAGCCCTTGGACAGAGCTGCAACAAAATATTTATGTATACCTGCGACGTCTGTTCCTTCAGAAAGGGTATTCTCTGCGGCAGGGTATACGATCTCTGAAAGGCGAAATCGTTTAAAAAACGACGCCGTTGATATGCTCCTTTTCTTAAACCGTAACAAATGACTATGCGAATAACAAAATACTTTTTTTGTTTTATTTTAAAGAAGGTATTTTTTTTTCGCTCTTGTTCTGAAACCATAACAAATGGCTGTGCAAATAGAATACTGTTTTTGTTTTATTTTAAAGAATGTATTTTTGTTTTTTTGCTCTTGATCTTAAACCATTACAAATGGCTGTGCAAATAGAAGAAGACTGTTTTTGTTTTATTTTAAGGAATTTATTTTTGTTTTTTAATAAAGAATATTTCAACAAAACTGTTTAATTTAATGGCAAAAAAATTCTTTTAGTTTTGCGAGTGCTTTGATGACTTTAGAAAAAAAAATCCAAAACCGGTTTTGAACCGGTTTTTATCGGTTTTTCTAAACAAATATCGGTTTTGAACCGGTTTAAAATAAAACCGGTTTTTCCAATTACTAATTCAGATCTCTATATATTCTCTTATTAACCGATGTTTTTGAGCAATTTCGCAACAGTTGCTTTAAAACATATGGGCGCGATCCTGCGCATTATTACACTTTGCCTGGTTACACCTGGGATTGTATGCTTAAATTTACCGGTTGTCGGTTGCAAATACCAAAGGATGTCGATATGCTTTTATTTATCGAGCGCGGCATTAGGGGCAGAGTTTCCCAGTGTTGCAATCGATATTCGGGGCAAATATTTAATGTATTTTGATGTCAATAACCTTTGCGAGTGGGCCATGAGTAGTGTAAGTTGCGGATTTGCATAATTTGCAACGTTGCCAACGTTCCCAGAACCCCTGGGGACCAGATCAATTTGTCTAATTATGCAAATTTATGCATAAATTTGATAGCATTTCCAATTTATTTAGCAAAAAAAATATTATTTTTTTTGGGTTTGGAGCACTGTAACCTCCTCACTCGCTAAAAATTCGGACCGCTTCGTTTCCGGTCGGGTTTTCGGCACACGGGGACGGGGTCCTCGTTCACCCTGAAACCGTACAATGTTAGTTTTTTCTAGGAAAATCCTGAACTTCTTCTAATTCTGATTAATAGAGTTTTTAACAGATTAATTATTGTGCAATGGTTTTTAAATGAAAAAGATACAATTATCAAAATTATTAAAAAAATGTCTTAAAAATATAAAATACACTTTATTTATGTATGAATGTTTTTTTTAAAACGTAAAATAAAATTATATTTTTATTAATAGAATAATCTTATTTTAATTTTATGTTTTTTATGCAGAAATTTTGTTATTTTCGTTTTGTGTGTAAATGTTTTTTTTTAGAACGCAGAAATGTTGTTTTTTCCTTACATTAAGTTCGATTTATTCTGGAAAAATAAAGGGGAAGAGAGTGGGAAATGTAAAATAATAAAACTAGCATGCTATCGAAATATTTTTATGTTTAAAGTTTTTTTGTCTAGCTAATAAGAAGTATTTTATATAGAAATAGCTAATAGTTCTACATTATTCAAGTATTAAAATAGTGAATTATATATAATTCAATTTTGTAAGTATTATTTAAAATTTATTTTTATTAATTTGTTTATTAAAATTTAATTTATTATAATTTTTTAGTTAACTACCTATTTTTTTGAACGATTATTACAAATTTGGTAAGTAATTTTTAATAAATGAAATTTAATTTATTATTAATTTTTAGCTATATTTTGGAAGAATTAAAATAAATTATTAGTTTGTAAATAAGGATTATTGTTAATTTGGTAAGTAATTTTTAATGAAATAACATTTTTAATGAATTACAATTTTTAAATTTTTAGTCCTGTCTTCAGAACAATTAAAAATGTTAAATTCATTTGGAAACTTGGATTTCGCCGAGAGTGTACAGATTTCTTATTTGGAACAGAATGTCCCTTTACCAATTTAGAAATTTTTCGCCTTTGAAACGCAGGAAGGAGGTTATTGGTAAAATTAGAAGGGGATTTATATACCTACCAGAAAGGTTTAAATATTTGTCTGATGAAGATATTGCAATTTATAACAAACAGCATTTTAAATTAATCTATAAAGGTAAGAGAAAACTGAAGCAAACATTGTGGAATTTATTCAATAATAAGATGTTAAGAATATTTATTCAATAATTAATAATAAACAATATGTCCAAACATGCAAAATTAGATTTTATTGTAGTAACCGAAGTAGCTTTTAAGTGAAGACTACTAACTATTTCTATTAGAAATACCATAGGTTTTTTGGATCCCTCTTTATTTTTACAAGAAATATGTATTATTTTTCCAGAAATTATTGAAAAAGTTAATCATTTTCCATGCAGAATGTCCCTTTACCAATTTCGAAATTTTTCGCCTTTGAAACGCAGTATGGAAGGAGGTTATTGGTAAAATTAGAAGGGGATTTATATACCTACCAGAAAGGTTTAAATATCTGTCTGATGAAGATATTGCAATTTATAACAAACAGCATTTTAAATTAATCTATAAAGGTAAGAGAAAACTGAAGCAAACATTGTGGAATTTATTCAATAATAAGGTGTTAAGAATATTTATTCAATAATTAATAATTAAAACATGCAAAATTAGATTTTATTGTAGTAACCGAAGTAGCTTTTAAGTGTAGACTATAAAGGTAAGAGAAAACTGAAGCAAACATTGTGGAATTTATTCAATAATAAGGTGTTAAGAATATTTATTCAATAATTAATAATTAACAATATGTCCAAACATGCAAAATTAGATTTTATTGTAGTAACCGAAGTAGCTTTTAAGTGTAGACTACTTACTATTTCTATTAGAAATACCATAGGTTTTTTGGATCCCTCTTTATTTTTACAAGAAATGTGTATTATTTTTCCACAAATTGAAATAGTTAATCATTTTCCATGCAAAATGTATACAACTTTGGTTGGTAAATTTTTTATACCCAAATTAACACTTTGACTGCCAAGTCGATTATTGGATTAGATCACCCCAAGCCAAGTACATTTAATCCCAAAATAATCTTTGTAATTTTTTGAAATTTTTTTACCATAATGTTTTTTTGCCAGTTATTATTTTTTTTCAGTTTTTCAGTAGTGTGAGAAGAGTATGTGGTACAAGACAATAAATATAAATAAACTAGACATACATATACTAGCAGCATACCAACTCGCATTAAATTACCTAGATGAAGGTATAAAAACCAGGTATAAAAACCTGCTAGATCTTCAGTTTAACAACGCCAATTTTTGTGCCTTCCTTACACCATCAAGGACAGAGGAGTTGATTAGAACAGCATCGAAAAGCTTACCCACAAATTTACACATCATTAGCCATACGATCATCAAAAAGTATTTGGATACTTTGCGACGGCAAAAGTCGATGAATACATGATGATCAAAGCAGCTCCCACCCCCCTAAAAGTAAACTACTCAAAATGAAAAAGGAGACACTTAATTATTTCGTTACAACTTCTGTTATTTTCATTATATGAAATTCTTAGGACATACTGTATACTATAGATACTTTAATACAAACACTGGTCATGTATCCCCTCCAACAGTCTTCGTTTTTATCTTTACTGGCAAAAAAACTGTGAATTGTTCTTTAGCGCATTTCACATGAATTTGGTTTAGTTTGATTTAGTTTGTTAAGTGGGTGCAAAAATGAATTTTGATGTTTTGGGTAGAAGAAGAACTCCTAGAGTATATTTAGACGCCTTACAAATAGCAAGAGCAATTGGATTAATTGAAGCTGGAAAGTCTAGAAGAGAAGTGGCTAGAATATTGAATGTAAGCCATTCCGCTATCACTAGAGCATGGAATAGACACTTAGTGCATGGTATTGCGGTAAGGCAACCATATCCTCATCGTCAGAGAATTACTACGGTCCGTGAAGACCGTTTAATGCGGATTTGGACATTACGGGATCGCTCAATTAGTGCAAGATCGGTTCAAAACCAATTAGCTGCAGCCACAGGATCAAGAATATCTGATCAAACTGTCCGCAATAGACTTAGAGAAGTTGGATTACACTCTAGAAGACCAGCTAGGTGTCCCAGATTAACTCCAATTCATAGGAGAACGAGACGGATGTTCGCACAACAACATCTAAATTGGACTTTGGAACAATGGAGCAATGTAATGTTCTCAAATGAGTCCAGGTTCTGTCTTTCCAATAACGACGGACGAGCTCGTGTATGGAGACGTATTGGAGAGCGTTATTTAGACAGTACAGTTCAAGAAGTTACTCCTTTTGGTGGAGGATCAATAATGGTTTGGGCAGGTATATGGCAAGCCGTTTTGGTTTTTATTACACATGGCTATCAAGTCTCATTTTAATTCGACTTGATTTCTATGAGACATTAGATAATTGAAATTATATGTATTTTCCTTAAGGGAAATTACATTTTTATTATAATTTCAAAATTGAATGCATATTTTCTTTACAAATAGTAAAAATAATGCATTTGTTGTATTTATTTCCATTGGTTTTTTAAATATTGTCCTTAACGTGAAAGCAATTTTCGTTAACAGAAATTGTATTAAATTTACTAATTATAATTTTAATGCAAATTATTTTTACTGTTTTAGTTTTTTGGAGCAATTTTATGACACATTAAAAGGATTTTATTTTAATTCAATTTTATTAAAGTAGCTTCTGACTTGCATACAATGTTACATTTTATTTATGTATATTAAAATTACTATTACGAATATAAATGCATTTGTCCTTAAAGATATAGTTTTATACTTTCCTAAATGACATAAAAATTAAAAACATTTTAATTTGAAATACTCATTGAAATGTTGTTCCCGAATAAAATTTAGAACCGCAATACATAGAGTCTAACAATATTTAGAGAATCAGAAAATAACATCGAATTAAAATGAGACTTAATGATCATGTGTACAAAAAATAGCTCGAATTTCTTTTATTTTTAACTAAACAAAAATAAACTTCTATTTCCGTTAAGGGAAATTACAATTCCCTTAACGAAAATGTTATTTCCCTTAACGGAAATGCTATTTTCCTTAACAGAAATTACATTTCCCTTAAGAGAAATTAGTGGCGCTATCTGTGGTGAAGATGCCGAAGGTTCCACCGCTTACAGAGTTCTGCCAACTTTGGTTGGGATGCCAGAATCTTTCATTTTGTTTGAATGCAACAAATATGACACAATTAACAATAATGAATAATATTACTACTACAGTTTGCTATTTACTACTTCTTTTCGTTTTAATATCCTTTATTAGAAACGTTAAAACACACCTTACACATGCGGCGTTGCCACACAACATTCGATTCGAATGATGCGATTCCAAAGTCGATCGGTATCATCGCGATTCGATTCGGAGAGTTTGGTTTTCTCGAGTAGTACCCATAATTATTAATATTACTATTATTATAGCATTATCAATACAAATTTTGTGACAATTTTCTGAAAATTCGATAATTTTGTCAATAATTTGTCGATGATTTGTCGATAATTTCACTTTTTACATCTGGCAACACTGGTGGGTGATATTTTGTGGGTGGATGTAACGGTTGGTTTTTAAATTAAAAAGGTAACAATCAAAAAAATTCTTTTTACTAATAAATCTTTTGTAAAATCACAGTGCAATAATTTCATTTTATAGAATTTTGATAAAATTAACTATTTGAACTTCAGCCGTCCTCTCATAGATGGCGCCAATTTCCCTTAACGGAAATGCTATTTCCCTTAAGGGAAATACAATTTCTCTTAACAGAAATGATATTTCCCTTAAGGGAAATTGCATTTCCGTTAACGGAAATGCATTTAAATTCTTAATTATAATAAAAACTACTTTCTTTAACGAAATTTGCATTAAAATTACTATTTGTCATAAAAATAATTTTTATTATTATTTCAAATAAAAATGAAATGTTTTAGTATTTTTATTACAATTTCGAATGTAAATCATCCTCTACATCTAATCTTTTCAATTTAATGTACCCAAAATTTCAATGCTTATTAAAAAAGGAATTTTATTTATAATTTGTAATTAAAATGTTATTTCCCTTAAGGAAAATACATATAATTTTAATTATCTAATGTCTCATGGAAATCAAGTCGAATTAAAATGGGACTTGATAGCCATGTGTAATAAAAACTAAAACGGCTTGCCATACAGGTATCACTTTAAATGGACGTACAGAACTTGTGGTCATAAGGAATGGCTCCTTAACTGCGGCACGTTATAGAGACGAGGTTTTGGAACCCCATGTCGTTCCATTTGCTTTGAATATGGGTGAAGATTTCATTTTTCAGCACGATAATGCAAGACCGCACATAGCTGGAATAGTCAGAAACTACTTGAATGACCATCATATTCAGGTTATGCAGTGGCCAGCCAATAGTCCTGACTTGAACCCAATCGAGCATCTTTGGGACAGACTCGGTGTAAGATTGAGGCAACATTATTCAATACAAAACCTGGATATCTTAGAAAATGTACTCTCAGAAGAGTGGGAGCAATTGCCTCAAGATACTGTAAGTAATCTTATTCAAAGTATGCCCAGAAGATGTGCTGAGGTGCTTAGAGCAAGGGGTGGTCATATTCATTATTAATAAGTGTATTCTTTCTCTAAATAAATATATACATTATTTTCGTAAATTTTGTATTTTCTATTTTCTTTGCTTTTTAAGAAAATCTAATTGCAAAGTTTAACAAAATTAGTATCATTTGAAAAAGTAATCCTTCTGGAAAACAATCCCAAAAAATCTTTTGAGTAAGTCTCAAATTAAAAAACTTATTTAACATTTTGTAAGTGTCTCCATATTCGTTTTGAGTAGTTTAGAAAACGACAGATATTGGCTCCTCGACGTACGAAACAGCATCCTGACCGTTGACTACAACAATCAACTGTACTTCGAGATCAGCGATGACGACTTGAAAAGGGCTGTTAAAAGCGGAAAAAAACGGTACATCTGCTTTCCCGTCATAATCCACAGCATCGAAAACAGTCCGAATTGTGTAATCGATGAAATAAATCAAAGAAGCGACAACACGACATGTGAGATTAAATAACAAAAATTCCATACAGCAATTTGGAAACAGAAGTACGTCATAAACAGTTGGCTATTTATCATTCCCCGAATCAACAAAGTAGCAGTCACATGTAATGGAATAAGAAAAGACAGCCCTGAATAGAACAGGAATTCTCACCGTATCTCAAAGCTGCACAGTCAATACCCGCAGGAACGTGTTAACACCGAAAAGGATAGTGGAAATTCCTGTGTTGTCCAGCTTTACCCGCCCGGTGGTGGCAAACTTGATGTTATTAACGTCAAAACGTCATGTCAAACTCCACCACGAATCCGAACAGGAGCTTGTGCTTCGACCGTCGGACAATCTTGTAAACATCAAGAAATTGGAGGGAGAAGAACGAAATATTCAGAATAGCCTTTATGAAAATGCTTGCCATAGTGTTGTAGCATTTTAAAAATAATAAATTATAATACTTAATAATTAAGGCCAAGGTCATCTGTTGACGTAAAATGGTACTAACGAAAACAATTGCAGTTAACTGTGATTATTATGAAATATCTATTTTTAATGATTTTGAGATTGTAATAATTATAAAACCCCTCTCTGATGTTGTTGTTTTGATGTGTTGCAGGCCAAACGTTAATTGCCGAGAATCATTGACGGTGCTATCAAATTTGTTTTCGTTCCAAAATATTTCTGAATTCCAAATTCTTTGTTTCGTTTCCCGTCTCAACTTTTATTGAGTTTTGATTCCTGGAAGGTTTATTGGAGGGCTGTTGAATGGTTAATCCGGTTAAAAATGAATATTTCGGTTAAATAAGTTAATTTAGTTGTAAAGCGCCATCTTACGTCTTCCGATCGAAGTACGTTCTGGAAGATTCGAGAGTTAATCCTTTCCCCCGCCTTCTTCCGGCTACCGAAAATGGTGGATGGCGTGTTTTGATCAACTAAATTTTTATCGTTAATCATCAGGGCGTTTTAAAGATATTATTGCTGTTTTCCGGATCATCCTTATCGTAGAGATCTTCATTAGTAAGTTTAAACAATTATTTTCGTTATTTCATTAATAAATGAGGTATTTTTCCTTTTAGTCAAAAATATCGTGTGAATTATTATTCCAATATACCGTTGCCGATCTATTGTAATTGTACCCTAGTGCCGCATATATTATTGCAACAAACATTTGATGTCCACAGAACTGTAGTCACATAGTAGGATTTTTTTTTAAAAGCCCTCTTTAATAAGAGGTAAGTGATTTGGCTTAGTTAGACGTTTTCTACATAAATCTGTTTATCCAGGGTCCTAGCCTGGGGTCTTAAAATCCTAGCCAGAGATTTTCAAGGCATATGCTAATACCTCGAAGTGTGGACAAAGTCAGAATCCCAACCATTAAGTTGGACGATAGTTGAACTACGTAGAACTAGGACTACAAAACATGAAATTACAACGAAATAGCAAGTATACGTGAAACCTAATTAGACTATAATTTTTTTGATTCCGAACGGAGGGGGTGAAACCTAATTAGACAATTTTTTTTGTGATTCTAAACGGAGGGGGTGAAACGTAATTAGACTATATTTTTTTTGTGATTTCAAACGGAGGGAGTGAAACCTAATTAGAATATATTTTTTTTGTGATTTCAAACGGAGGGGGTAAAACCTAATAATTTTGTGTTTAAAGTATTCAAGGTTGTGACTATGTAGAGCATAGTGCACACTTTATTTTAATTTTAAGTTTATTTTAATTTTAGAGAATTATATAAATATAAATTTTCTTTATTTTTTTTTTCAGAGTGAGACATTTCATTTACTAAATATGGTTTATATCATTGAATCATCTAACTGGGGTAGTAGTATTAAGTTAGAATAAGGATTTAGTTGATAAGCAGGGAGTATATGATATATTATTTTGTATCTTGATTATCTAATGATAGATAATATCAAATTATTGATTAACTTGTTAATTAATTTTATTTTAGTTTACATTTCACATATACACCTATTTGGTATTTTCCAAATTTTATCCCATAAACTAAAATTTAGTGCACCTAGGCGCACATTGCTCTATTGCCTTGCCTTGACCCACAACCTAGTGCTCACCGGCGTACAGCTGTCGTGTGTTTGTGCCAAAATCGTGTTAAATCAGTCTTAGTCTCAAGGTAGAGGTTACAGTGTCCACCAACATTCCGCCATAACAAGCATGATAAATAGCGGTATAGTGGCCATCTTAATCACAAGTTCTTGGTTTGGAATAAAACAACTACATGTCCGGAGAACTTCAAAGAAGACACAAACGGGCACTTCATCTGCCAACCCGAATCTTTTTCCGGCCGGCAGGATGTTTAATCTTTAAATTAAACAATAATTATTTAATTGACCTACTTTAGTCATCTAATCTAATACGCCGCGCCAGCAATAACATTACAAAATCCAACCTTAAAACGTTAATATGTTTGTAAAATATGTAATTAAAATAAAATATCTTATTTTTATATAAGGAAACATTTTTATAATTAAAGTCAAACACAAGACCATTGTGTTTTACTGAACCATCTAGTTTCCAAGCCTTAACTGGAGCGTGAGGCTGCGCTCCGCTTGTGGGGCATTATTACAAAGATCCGGGATCACAATTAAGATCCGATTCTTTTCACTGTTTTTATTAAACTTTTAAAGATTATAAAAATTCTTAAATATGTATGTTTAAAAAATATTTAGTTATTCTTAATAAGAGTCTCGATAAGTTTGGACATCATGCTTCTATTTATCTTAAAAATAATGATAATGACGACAAACGATCGACTAATTCGTTTAACGAATTCCAATATTTATAACTGAAAAAAGAGCTCAAACTATTAACAAGCATGCCACCTCCCGGATGACATATTAGTTTAGTTGTTTGTTTATCCAAAATAGAAAATAATTGTTTAATTATGTTTCCATATTTATAAGACTTATTGGCATTTATTTGTGCATCCGAATTATATTTACGTTTATGTGCATTCGTTTCTTCTTAAAATACTACCATATCGTTGCAAATCAGGTAAATCATAAGGATCCTCGTTTGGTACTTTCATTACTATTAAATTATATAATCCCTCTGTGCCACTAAAACTTCTATTATTTAAAATTAAATCGTCTCCATTTATTTCAACAATAGAATCTCCAATCATCCAATTTTGGGTATTTGCATCATATCTTAACCCATAAGTAAAATCAACCAAATCCAATGCATCGCTTATAATCAACTCAAGATATTTTTTGGAAGCGGGTTAAATGTGTTTAAAAATGATAATACAAGCTTGTGTCCTTTAAACGATTCTCTCATCTGTTTTTTTTTATAATTTCTATGATAGAGGAACTGTAGGTGTTGATGTTATGGTTGTTGGCACTGTCTCCATTGGAAGAAATGACGGTCCTGCAAAACTTAATATCATCAATATAAGTACTTGTTTTTGTTTTTCCGATTTTAAATAAGGTATTTTCGGTTTTATAATGAACGTATCCTCATTATCATCCTTATCAGTAGCGGCAGCAACAGTAGGTGTAATTGTCCTTGGTCGTGATGAAAATATTAAAGGATCTTCTTCTTTTTTTAACATTGTCGTCATTGTTGGTTATTTTTTAATGTTTTCCACAATGGATTGAAGATGTGTTATAAGTGGTTTTAAATTACTTGCCATTTCCATATTGACTTCCAGCCGATTTTTTTTAATGTATCAGTTTCTTTTTAAATTTCTTATAATTTTTTTCTTGCTTTTAGAAATGGATATCAGGCTAAATCGATTTATAAAATTGTGTAAACTAAAGATTTGTTTATTGTGTCTGCAAACAGCGAATTAAAAGTTATTTTATAAACTACTATTGAAATATCCAAAAACTAATGCTGCTTAAATGTCACGTAGTCCACTCTGTATGTTTATCCTAATACTGATGATTTAGCATGTAAGCACTCCGACCTATATTTTATGAAACCAACTTACTTAACCATTGAACATAGTCGGTGTAAGAACTTTAAATAAAAGTATTGATAATACTTAAAGTGTTTTAATTAAATAATCGTCCAATTACCCTAATAGGTTATGGGCTCAGAATACGTTTATTAATTATTAGTGTGGTGAAATAGTGACGTTAAAAATAAAAACTAAACTAAAACAAAACTAAATAAAATTTGTGAAAAGTGACACTAAAGTGACAATGGCGAGTGATAAAAAAATTAAACGAAATATTAAACCCTTCAATGGAGAACATTACAGCATCTGGAAATTTCGTTTGAGGGCATTAATTAGTGAAGAAGACGCTCTACTAGTTCTTGATCAAGATCCTCCAGAAACCATTACCAATGAGTGGCAAAAACTCGATAGAACTGCAAAAGGTTGCATAATTGAACATCTTAGCGACTCAATGATTGGAATTGTCACTGAAGAATTAACAGCCCGAGATATTATGCAAAAACTAGATAGTATCTATGAAAGAAAAAGCTTAGCAACACAATTATCAGTGCAGAAAAAGTTACTAAGTTTTAAATTAAAGGCTGAGACATCGCTAATAAAACATTTCATTGAATTTGATGAAATGATGATAGAATTAACAGCTGCAGGAGCTAACCTTAATGAAATGGGTAAAGTTGCACATTTACTATTAACATTACCATCTTCGTACGACGGGGTCGTAACAGCAATTCAAACACTTTCCGATGACAACCTAAGCCTAGCTTTTGTTAAAACTAGACTACTTGATCACGAAATAAAAATCAAAAATGAAAGCAATGATACTAGCACAAAAGTTTTAAATGCCTACACTAAAAACACCAACAAAGGAAATAATTCCCAAAAAAATATGACGAGCCAAGAACGAAAACCACACCGAGGATATAATCAAGAAACAAAACAATTTCGTTTTAAAACACACAACAAAAAATCTAACAAATCTTACACCGTAAAATGTGATCATTGTGGCAGGAAAAATCACACAAAAAGAGATTGTTTTTATTATAAAAAAATCGGTAATAAAAATTATAATACAAGCCGAAATGAAAAAAATTTACAAATGATA